TTTCTCCATTATGAAGAGCAGAAAAAAATATTAGAAGGAGCATATACATTTATACACTGGATGTTTACTTTGTATCTAGCACATAGCCCGGTATGTGTTGGGCCCTCAACAAATGGTTATTTAATGTACAGACATGGTCTCAGAAAGGTCCTCATCTCAACATGGCAGAGGGGAAAAATAAACAGGGCAAAGCTCACTTTCTCCTGATGGCAAGTTGTTCAACACCCTGAATCCCCTGAAGAATCTTATTTGAATATAATTTACCTTATCGTCTTGCCAAACCACACAACAGTGAATAAACAGAGATTACGAACTCAAATTCGCAGAGGAGGCAGCCAGATTAAGTGTATGAATGAAGTTGATTGAGTCAGGGAGAAAATAGAGAGTGGTAAATTAGTAGCTAGCATTTGAAATCTTACTTTTCCCCACATTGAGAAACAGAAACCAAGCTTGTCTGGAAAAATAAAAACATCTGATAGTGCTGGGCCCATATTCTTATGCGGCAATAACCGGCTTGGGGTGAGAAGCCTGGCCCTCACCCCTGTGTTCTCCAGCCTCCCTGAGAGAGCAGGGCCTACCCAGTGGATGCCCGGCATCCAGCCCCGTGCTGTAGGCTTTCCCCATCCTAGTCTGGAATTCAGGTTTTCATGGCAAATCTATCCATTTTTAAGGGATGCTTCCTGTGTGGTTTGCTAGGGCAGCTGTCACAAAATACTGCAGAATGGAAGGCTTCAGCAACACACATGTATTGCCTCACAGTTCTGGAGTCCAGAAGTCAAGGATCAAGGTGTCAGCAGAGGTTGTTCCTTCTCAGGGCCGTGAGGGAAGGATTGGTCCTGGGCCTCTCTCCAAGCTTCTGGTGGTGTGCTGGCAATCTTTGGCATTCCTTGGCTTGAAGGTCTCTGCCTTTATCTTTACATGGCATTCTCCCCGTGTACATCTCTCTCTGTGCCCAAAGTTCCCCTTTTAATAAGGACAGCGGTCATATTGGATTGGAGGCCCACCCTACTCCAGCATGACCTCATCTTAACTAATGACATCTGCACCCATCTGTGTCCAAGCAAGGTCACATTCTAAGTCCTGGGGGTTAGGACTTCAACATATGAATTTTGAGTGTGCACAATTCAACACCTAACACTCCCTACCATATTTTTTTAAACTTCGTATGTGCCAAATAAACATATCTACAGGCTAGAAACCACTGTAGGCTCCACTTTGCCACCTCTGGGGAGGAATTTTAAAGGAAGAATCAGAATGTCAGACTGAATAGAATCAAAGAACCTCTGATATGGAGGCAAGGTCACTCCTCCATATCCCAAGCTTGAAAACCCTCTAAAGCACTCCTGGTGGCCAGCCAGCCTTGACGAGAACATTCTAGTGGTGGAGAATGCCTATGACCAGTTAACCTCTGTAATCTGCTTCTGTTCTGTAAGAACTCACGTGAGTAACAAAGGCAGAGATGAAATATTCATTGCCCTTTGTAACATGACTTACCAATGAAACAATCTTTTTGTGAGATATGAGCTGGGAGAATTGAGTGGAGGAGAGCTATAATTCTTTGTATTATAATGTACATACATTATAATACTTTGTGTCCTGGATACCTAATTGCAGGGGCCACAGAGATCCCAAGAGAACTTGCTGAAGAAACCATCATTGACTGGGTCTCCAGCCACCTCACCTTTGGACCTGCAGGAGAGTGTACCAAGACCACACCACTCTGGGCTGCTCCCAGCTGCCTGCTCCAGAGTGACCAAGCACAGCAGAGGGGCAGGCCATTCTGTCTGCCATGGGGCCCTTCAGCAGCTCCCGTTGGCCCAGGTTCTCCTCTTCCTCAGGGGTCAGGTTTGCATCCTGAGCTGAAAGTTTTCCCTACCCAGGGCATCTTTATGACTTTTGTGGGCCCCAGGCCCTTTTGCTGTGGTGGGCCCATTCCTCCATTAAAAAAAAAAAAAAAACCCTTAACATTTTGGTTTACTACTGCATTGGCATCAAGAGGTATATAATGTAGGCTAGAAATTATTATATTCATTTTACCCTTCCAGTTTTAAAATAAAAGTAAAATATTGTCGTGGACCCCAAAAATGCCATGGCTCCTAGGCACTATGGCTGCTGTGCCCAATAAGGACATTGGGCCTGTCCCCAGTTAGTCTGGCTCCTTCCTCCTCAGAGCCTTCACAGCCATCTCTCCCAGGAAATCTCTTTCCCACCTAGTCCCAGCTTACTGTCTGCTTCCACAGCCAGCCTTGTTGTAAATTCACCTTCCTTGCAGATGGCAGACATCTGAGAGTTGTCTTTAAAGGATAGTAACTCACCTGCTCTGTGGACAATATTTTGTGCATTTGCAGTCAAAGTGCCTCACTAACAACTTGTGCTCAGGACGCTAGTCCAAGTGAACCACAGTCACATTTCTGATCCAAAAATCATCCAGCAAACACAACACGATCTGCCCAAAGTGAGTCAGAGAGGCTGCTGGGAACAAGACCAAGACTGCTGACTCCAAGTCTCATTCGGAACCACCAGACTAGACCACATGCCCTTGCCCCCTTTTTCTTTCCATCATTCATTTTTTGCCAAAGATGGGTTCTATTTACTGACAATTTGAGCAACGTTAAGCTTCTCATTAGGGAACAAAAGGTAACTCATCATGAGTTTATTATCTCAGTTGAACTGGTAGGGGTGATTCAGAAATTGTCATTCAGGTGTCTGCCCCAGGAGAAGAGGCTGGAGGAATGACAGCCAAACCAGGCGGAGTGTGTTATCAGATACAATCTGTTCTGAGGAAGAGGAGTCAATGGGTAGGTGGCTGCAAGTGCCATAGTATTCTCCTTTCTAAAAACAATGAAGGTAGCCTGGAGTTCTTGGGAAATTTTGTCCAGTGCCTGATATTAGGAGAATTTTCCTGCCTAGTTCAATGAGCGCAACACTCCTATCTGGCATAGGGTTCTAGAGCTTCCAGAACCTCTGGAAAAGGCCTTTTTTTTTTTTCATCAGATCTTTAAGATTCGAGTAGGATGAAACTAGGTATAGATGGACTTTAAGTAGACAGAATCCTTTAATCTGCCAAATCACTGGAGACCCTGCAGGCCACAGAGATTTTTAAAGTATTAAAACTTGAACTGAAAATGAAAGAGGTTATATGGGGGGAATGGGTTCCCCCATAAGATTAAGAATTGAGAAGCTTATTGCCACTCCTCTACAGTATGTGCTGCTTTGCCATACACAGAGTGAAAATCAATCTATTATTACCTAATTCTGGATTATACACAAAGAGCCCGAGGTTTCTAGGCAAAAAACATTTCAAATTCAGCTGAAACAAAGATCACAATTCTGTCATGCCGCCAGTGCTCAGGCCTCTTCTGGGATGGAGCCTGCGGTGCTGGTGTATGCACACTTGCTCCTGAAGAGGCTGTCCGTTCCTTTCTTGCAGCAGCCTTCTGTATTAGCTGAACTTTTCATGTGGAACCAGTGGCCCCTGGTAGTCAGCCATTTCCCCTTGTATTAGGGAAAGAACTTTAAAGGCGGTTTCTGAATGTTTATTTTCAAGCAGTCTGGCTCACCAGCATTCCCCCAAGACTGCCCTTGGCTTGGCCGTGGTGCCAGAGGTATTCTCTGACTCAGCTGTGATGCGATCCTGTTGGCCACATTTGCACTCCAATTGTGTTGTCTGCTCCAGTGTTGCTGGTTGTCTGGACAAGCTGTCTCCCCAGTAGGGCAGACAACCTGGTCTGAAGAGATGTATGCCAGAGGGAAATACCCCTGGTCTGCTGCCATGGTGAGTAGATGGCACCCAAAGAGAATGAGTTACAATGCGTGTTTTTCCACCCAATGAGTCTGACAGTATCTTCACGAGCCTTTAGTTGTAAGGGTTTTGGTGGCCCTTACCATCATAAAGTCAGACTGTAGTCTTTTTATACAGCTTTCAAGGATGATGTAAACATGAATGAATATTACGTGAGACTTCTCGTATCTGTGCTAAGACCTCAAAGCCCCAAACAATAAGTGACGACAACCTCTATTTTCTAAAGAGAGGTGCTAGACCATCAATATGCTAAGTGGCAACCCCTGGCACCTACCCCGGCTCTACCAGTGTTAGCCCGTCTGTCCCCTCTAGCTTGTGCATATGAGAAGGCTCGAGATGAATCAGAGAGATTGGAGATGGGGTTTCTATAAAGAGCGTTGTCACAGAACCGCCCTGCTATGTGTTTCCTTTCAACCTCTCCAGGGAAGGCAAGGGGATTGCTTCCCCTTTCTTACCTTGTCTAAAGGAGGGGCCTTAAGGGAACCACTCATGGAAAAGGTAGAGGAAGGAAACTGCCATCTAACCTCATCCCTTCCCCTATGTGCAGAAATTTCTGAGCTCTGCAATTGCTCTGAACCTTGAGATGAAGGGGATCAGAGTTCTTAAGAAAGCTTGACCAGTGATACTGGAGTGTGGTGTGATGCAGAGATGGAGCCTGGCACTGGTGCATACCTCTAAAGGCAAGAAGCTCACCCTAGGGACCTGTGGGGGAAGAGTAGAGAAAAAGCAGTTTGCTGCCGGTGAACTGCACTTCCAGAGTTTGAGGGGGCAATTTAGAAGGCAGCTGGGCTACGCTACCTTAAAAGAACTCTTCTCAAGAGAACTGCCTGCCAGTGCGGTAATTCCATTAGAAGGGAGCTGGTGAGGCATACCATGACTTATAGGAGCTAAGAAGGATTCATAGATGGTCAGCCAGAGAGTTGCTCAACCCTGTCTGGCAACACTAAAGTGGGATCCCCCCTTGGCCATGACAGGAATGCCAGAATTTGGCCATGTGCTGTATGAAGGGCATCACCTCTAGATTAAATAGCAACAGTCAAGTGAAAGTTTTGTCCCTGGCCTTTGCCTTTCTGTTCCATCCCCACCCCGCCTATTGCCTCCCAACCCTGAAGCAGCCAGAAGCCAGTAAGAGGGAGAAGAGGTAGGGAAGAAAAAGGTGAAGTATGAAGAGACAAAGCACAAACCTTTCTCTCTACAGCTGTTGTGTGGCCCAGTCTGTGGGAAGATCTAAACTAAATGAGACATTGCAGTTGTGACTTGACTGAACCTAATCCTTGAAAGTGAAGATGTTTATTAATACCTGAAAGTAACTGGAAAGCCACAGCAAGTCATCCAAGGGTAGAGAAAGGAAATTCAGCAGACCTTGCACAAAGAAAATGGTAAGTAAATTAAGAAAGCTGCTTCCCTACCGCATGCTTCCACCATGCACCAAATGGATCAATGCAGAGAGTAAATAAATAGGTCCTGTTAAGACGACCCTTGCTCATTCCAAACTGAAATGAGTAAAGAGTGTCATGATCATGGAGAGATGATCCATCCATCTCGTGATGTTTGATGGAATAAAATAACTCTAACCTTTTTTTAGGTTTTGAAACCTTGTCCAGCTTCTTCCAGAGCAACACAACAAGCAGGCTTGGTTTTTTAAATATCAGCAAAGAGATGCATTTCCCTCATTATTTTTCGGGCAATCACCTATTTTTCTTTTTCTTTTTTTTCGCTAAGGTAGGTAGAAAACAGTAATGATCTGAGCTGTCAGTAGGTTACCTCCTGAAAGATTTTGTTTCACTTCATGAAATATGAATAAAGAAAGAAACCCATATGTGATGAGTCAGAATTAAGAAAACACAGTATAAAAATCACAACCCCTCCAGTATTCCAAAGATGTCTCACCACAATTCTTACTGCATTATTTTAGTCATTTCTATCATTAGACAATAATTTGGGGGCACGATGCTCATTTAAAAACCTTGACTCAATGTTTGGGGCAGACTGTTTGGAACATACAAGGAAATGAAGGAAAACTCATATCCACATTGTAGTTTTCAGAAATTACATTCACCGTTTGCTTTTCTACAACCCAAAGACTAGCACTCTCCTGGGAAGACTTCCCTCAACCCTCTCTGCAGTTCTGAAATTCTTAAGTAGACAATGAGCTCCCCTTCTACATGCTGTTTCTCCAGTTTTTACCTGAAAGCAAAGGCAAAAGCTGCATCCAGTATATGAACGAACACAAGAGGAACTCACATAGAGCAAAATCTGCTGTTGCAGGCAGACATCTGAACCATTTAATCTTAACTTTGCCACCCAAACTGATAGAACTCCAGGGAAATCAGTATACCCAGTAGAAAGCAAATATAGGAGAGGCAACCTCTTTCCTTTTTAGAGCATTGGAGGGTTTGTTTTGCTTTGTTTTAAAGAATGATACTGACCAAATCTTTGAGTCCTATGGGCAGAGCTTTTCAAATAAAGTATTTTAGAATCTTTTGAACTCATCATTTTTAGCCCCACCCTCTATAGGGGAAAGACTTACAGAGCACTCCAGGCTTAGAGGAGTGTGTGTGTGTGTGTGTGTGTGTTGAGTGGGGATGTTGGCTAATGAATGGCCAAAATATTAGTCCAAAGGTTGAAGAGGACTTGGAGTGAAATAACAGGAAAGATTGGAATGCAGGCAATCAGGCTTCCTGCTAATCATAAGTAGGAATGTAGCCTGCGACCTAGGGGTTCCTCTGCCATCATCACATACCTTGTGCTTCTCAAATGCTGTCCAATCATAAAATAAACCATCCACTCTCATGCCTCTACACTTTTGCACATGCTGCGTTTGCCTCCCCCTTATCCATTTCTTCAAATTCCCGTTCTGCTATTCCTTCCTCAAGAGAGCCTTCTCTGTACCCCAAAACCAAGGTAGTCTTTTTTCTGTGGTTTCATATCATTTATTTCATACCTCTATTAGTCATGCATTACTGTGCGTGCTTGCAAGTTTATGTAGCATTTTGGTATTCAGATAATTTGAGAAATGCCGTAATGTACATGAGCACAGAACTATATTAAAGGTGGTGGGAAATCCTGAAATAAAGAAATCTGTTTAGCTTTCTTTAATGCAGGGTTTCCCCAGTTTATTTGACCACATATCACCCTTGTGCTCCATATAAGGATTAGGGAAGGACATTTTGGGAAAAGTTGGTTCCTATAAACTCTTTGAGGTTAATGATTTTTTTCTTTTTTTTAAGCATCTTTTTTTTTTTTTTTTTAAAACTATACTTTGAGTTCTGGGATACATGTGTCAAATGTGCAGGTTTGTTACACAGGTATACATACGCCATGGTGGTTTGCTGTACCCATCAACCCGTCATCTACATTAGGTATTTCTCCTAATGCTATCTCCACCCTGCTAACAGGCCCCAGTGTGTGATGTTCCCCACCCTGTGTCCATGTGTTCTCATTGTTCAGCTTCCGCTTATGAGGGAGAACATGCGGCGTTTGGTTTTCTGTTCCTGTGTTAGTTTGCTGAGAATGATGGTTTCCAGCTTCATCCATGTCCCTGCAAAGGACATGAACTCATCCTCTTTTATAACTGCATAGTATTCTGTGGTGTATATGTGCCACATTTTCTTTATCCAGAATGACTGTTTTTTTACATCACCAGGGTATGCAAGAATGTAAATATAAATACATGTAAAAAGTGCTTATTATGTGTTTGTTGAATGAATGAAGGAATGAATAAGTGATCAATGAAGAAGCGTAATTCTGGTGTTGAGGCTCTGACTGGGTAATCCCATGGATTGCTGGAAGGTAGGTAGAAGATCTTTTTAGACTTCCTCCCTTCAACCCTCGGGTCAGTTTCTTTTTCAGCCCACAGTATTGACATATGGGTACCAAGCAATGCTAGTGGGAAAAGCTGCCTGCCTTGGGGAAGTATTCTAGAATAGCCAAGAAAGAAGAGGAAGAATGGGAAAATGGAGAGAAGGAGATGGGAGGGAAAAAGGGAGTGGGAGAGGAGAGAGGCAAGTGCTTATGTCAGGGGTGGCAGCACCCTACCAGCAAGTCTTAGTGCTTCTCAAGGATGACCACACCACTATGCCTACGTCTTGACCCTTCTGGTCAAGATACTAGAAAATCCAGGGCCTCTTTTTCTCAACCCTTTGTTCCTTTAGTTCTCCTTTTCTTCTAGTGCCAAATGCTGTGTGCTTATAAGTATCCAGGAGGGACTCAAGCCATTTTGAAATAGATCTCACTGAATGGTGAATTTGGAGATTTTGGTAAATAGCATTAGGCAATGAGAGAAAAGTAAAATATTGGAACTCAAAGCCATCTTTGAATCATTGAATTCAAATTGCTCATTTGCAGATGTGTCAATGGAGACCCTAAGAAGTTGAGGGCTTAGTCAAGGTAATAAAGTACTCTGATAACTGAGCCTGGAGCACAAGTATTTGGACTCCTAGCCTGGGGCTCTTTCTCTATCCCTGGGGACACAAATATAGTCAGAATATTCTATGATTGCAGATGGGCGTGAAGAAGGACTAGGAGAATTACACTCTTCAAAGGATGAATTGCACTCAGATAACATAGTCAAATGGATGATTTGACACTAGTCCATTGGTCTGTTGCCTCCTCCAAGAAATATATGTTCTCCCCAGCCAGCTGCCTCTTGCCATCATTGAGGATGAAAAATGAAACACTGAATAATCACTGAATCATAATATTGGTTACCCACAGGGTTTGACTTTGGAACTAATTTTTAAATGATTTGGGAAAAGTTCTCTAACACTTCCCCATTGTTAAATTTGCATCTCTGTGCAACTGTGATAATGACAGGAGACATAATTGCCATTTTGATGCATCAGTCTTTCAAGATCCTTTCTGTTCCTTGTATTAGATTCTTAAGATAGGACAGAAAAACAATCTCAAAACTAGCCTATTGTCACACATGAAGAAAAAATCATCGGGCTTTTCTTTCTTCAAACCCCAAGAGATTGTTAGTTGCTTTACTCATTTACATAAAGCTCTCAAGAGTTGGTGACATTTTATTATTTTGAGTTAACCCAACTGTCTTTTAAAATACTCATGAAGATTCATGGATTACTTTGCCATGACTGGTTATCATTCACTGTACACAGAGCACTCGTTTATAGTGTGGTTCCTACAAAGGGCCCCAAATGAGGATAGGCCACTTATTTATAAGGTAAAAATATGGACTATCCATAGAAAAAATTCAATCTCTTGTCACTGTCAAAAGTGCTAAACAGCACTTTGGGAGGCTGAGGCAGGCAGATCACCTAAGGTCAGGAGTTTGAGACCAGCCTGGCCAACATGGGGAAACCCTGTCCTTACTAAAAATACAAAAATTAACTGGATGAAGTGGTAGGTGTCTGTAATCCCAGCTACTTGGGAGGCTGAGGCAGGGAGAATTGCTTGAACCCGGGAGGTGGAGGTCTCAGTGAGCTGAGATCACACCACTGCACTCCAGCCTAGGCAACAGAGCAAGACTCCATCTCAAAAAAAAAAAAAAAAAAAAAAAAAAAAGAAAAGAAAAGGCTGAACCTAGGTTTTAAAGGTAGGAAGTACATAAACATGCTTTTTTTTTTTTTTTTTTTGGTCTTATCTCAATTTCTTATGTAAGTGACCCCAGATGCATCTGAAGAAACAGTTTCTGGGGGATTCTTCTGTACTCTTGCTCCACCTTTTTACTGTCCATCTACTGAAATAATCCCTGTCATGTTAATCCATCTAAAAACACTGCTGTGATGGTGTCTCTCCCCTGCCCAAACACCTGTGTGGCCTCCCATTGTCAATGAAATAAAGTCTCTTACCTGGCATTCCAGGCATTTTCGAATTTGTCCCTGTACTGCTTTCTCAGCCACATCTCTTCCCCCATCCACCCCTCGTAGCTACCACCACTGTATCATTGCTCTTAGCTTTTTCTCATCTTTGTCAAAATCATACCAATCCCCGAAATACGGTTTACTTCTTTTATCATGTCTTCTAGGACATCCAAGCAGTGAGGGGCCTCTTTTGTCTCTGAATTCCCAACACCTTTCTTTTTTGGTGGGGGATGGAGACCACTCTTATTGCACTTGACACATACCGCCCTTTGTTAACATCCAGTTGTGATAAAAATCTCTTTTCCTTTCTTGAAAGAATCTTCCTTGAAGCTGGGAAGGGGCCATAGAGGATCTGTCATTTTAATTGTCATTTTCCCCATTATATCTAATGCTGGGTCAAATTAATGACAATGCTAGATTTAAAGTTGCATTTGTTTTAAACAGGCAAGCTCCATGAGACTCCAATCTTTTTATTTGTGGTTACTTATAAGTAACTTATTCTAAGAAGCCTGAACATGTTGTAAAAGAAAAGAAACTTGTCAAATGAAGGTTGCAAAATAGAAGTTGGCCAACAGGACCTGACCTGCAAATGTGTTTTATTGGCCCACACTGTGATTTTAGAAAACATTCACCAACTTTTAAACATTTGGGAAATTTCACACACAAAAAAATCCCCTGCCTTCCTGATGATCTTGAAACATCAAAAGATCTAGCAACCCGGGCTTGCATTCTCACACAGCAGCAACTCATTAGAGCCGAGTAGCCTTTGCACAGGGTCTCTGCTGTCTAGTTTGCCGCAGTCCTCACCCAGCCCACATGTCATTTGCTTATACTGTCTGCCTGGCTGTTACAGGAGACTGAACCTGAGATTCGGGATATAAAGGAGAAGATAGAATAGGAGCAAAGAGAACAATAAGGTTAGGATGAAGACGGTCTAGAGTCAAGATAAGCTGAAGGATGAGCACTTTTGAAAAAAAGAGTTGGAGACATGGTTAAAAATATTCAGATGACGAAAAGCAATAGTGAATGAAGAAAAATGGAAAGAACCATAAAAGGTCATCAATATCTCTGTGTAAAGGATCAAAAGAGAAAAAGTTAACTGTTTGCAGCAGAATAAAAATTCCTGTCTTGTTCTTGTTGAAAAGCCAGCCGCCAGAAGCTTCTTACTCCTTGGAGACCTTGGAGTCGAGGATGAAATGTCTTGCAACTGTGGAGAGACCTAGGCTTTTCCAAAGCCTACCAGGGTCCAGGTGAGAGCAGTGGTAACCCACAAGTAAGTAAGCCCTTGCCCTTGTCTCTCTTCTGTGGAGGACTTCTTCTCAAAGCTGACTTCTTGCTGATAACACAACCTCACCTCTCATTTTCCTTGCAGAGAAGCAGCCTTCTTCGCCACTAGGGGGGCCTGTTGCACACCACATTCAGAGCTAATCAGCAGTATTGGCTCACCTCACTGTCACTTGGGAAGTTCCTAGGACCCATTCCCATCCTTTGATCTATTTTCAGTGAAAAGTAACCTAGGATTATTCCAGCCTTGTCTTTAGAAATGAGAAATATTAAACAACAAATACACAAGAAAGTAAAGCATAATATGGAAATGTGAAAATACAAGACTAGGCCACAGGTGAAGGAAAATCTTTACGGGGTGGCCTTCCCCGTAGCTACAGAGCTCACAGGTGCAGCTTGTCTCTACCTCCCTGTAGATCCTTCCCTACTCTTCTGCCACACCTCCTGGTTCCTACTTAGTTCCTACTCACCCTCCTCCCTCCTCTCTTCCCTATTGACAGAAGCCACAGCTAGGTCAGTGCAGGAAGTGGGAGGAGACAGCAGAAAAATTTATCCTGGGAAATGGACTCCATTTGACCGCAGCTCACCCAGTTCACTCTTGAAGGTGTGATCCTGTGGGAGAATGGAATGGACATTCCGAATACTTCCTCCTCCAACAAACCAGTTCACGTTGGGATTCCAGCGGTTCACAAAGCCACAGAGATGATTTTCTTCAAAGTCACATTCTGGGGAAGGGAAACAAAAACACTGCATGGACACACAGTCACACCTGGGTACACCCATCCTACTACAGAGTTTGCTCTTAGATATTCAGAAGTTTCTCTCTTCCTTTGCCCACTGTGACCTTTCTACCAGGACCCCCGCACAATATTGGTCAAGAAGAGAGACAGATCCTGTAATAAATCAAGATTCTAATTCATCATTGGCCCTTTGGATTATGGCCCTTCCACTTATTAGCCATGTCACTTGGAGCATGACTTATCACTTTTTGTAGCCTCTGTGTCTCCATATGTGAAATGGGGACAATGTTCCTACTTCACAGAGCTATTGTAAGTGTGGAGAGCTCCCAGCGCAGTGCCAGGCATGTGGTCAGTGCTTGGTACAAGTCAGCTGTTTTTATCAGTCACCTCTGTCTCAAAGCACTGCTCAGCGTTATGCTCTGAGCTCTAGAAAATTTTTTCCACAACCCTTTCTTGAATCTGTTAGCCCAGTCCTCCTTTCCTTTCTCTTCTCATGATGAACAAGTTGCCCAGAGCTGAGGGGCATGTGTCCAAGATGCTAAAATTCCATTTTTCTTATAAATGAGAACCCAGGCAAAATAGGTGGGACAGATCTATCCTAGGTTCTGGGTTCCTTTTGCAGCTACTGAGTGGAGAAGAGAGAGAGGATAATCAGACCCTCCTCTTCTCCCCTTAGTGTCGTTGGCATGTTTGCGTGGATATATTGATCTTCATCAACAACTTTTCCTTAAAAAGGAGCAAGAAACTCACAAGCTAATGCCTCCACTGACCCTTATAATCATGCAATTAAACTAGGAAGTATAATTGTGCTGGCCATTGGCCCCCTGCAGATCAATTTTGCTCTTCTCCACCTGATAGGTCCTGCAGAGGTTGACCTATCTGAACTGTATCAATGGGCTCCCCTGCCTTCCATCTCCCTGTTGGATTCGACCAATGGAAGGTGGAAGGAGAGTGAAATCAGGGGTTTAATTGCGTAGCAGTCTCCCAGCCAGGTCGCCATGGGTTGGCAAATCTTGTCAAGCAGTCCTCACCAAATAGCTATTGTTTATAGGTACTGGAAACTCCTCCTCCCTTGTCCTTTCAGGCCAAAAGAAGACAACAGCTCATGAATTATCACTGTTACTAGTCCTGGGTCACAGAGCTGTCCCTTGCTGGCTTCCTTTATGACTCACAGTTTGTGATCTCTTCAGTGAGCTTCCCTCAAATTACTCAGGTTGAGTGTATCCTGTTTCCTCCTTCCTGGCAGGATCTTGACTGGTATAGTCAGCAATGTGTTTTTACATTAGCAAGCACTGAAAATTTCTAAGATTTTCATTTTCAATGTTTCCACCACAGTGTCTGCTAACCAATGCCCTAACATTCAGTGCCAAAGGCTGCCTAAGAGTAAAATAAAAAGCAAAATATTCCTCAATGTGCCAGGCTTCATTCTCAGCACTTTACATAAATTAACTTATTCAATCCTCAAAGCAGCCCCATGATATAGGCACTGTTACTAACCTCATTTTACAGATGAGGAATGGAAAGAGACAGAGAAAGTACCCAGAAAGAAAGAAGTGAGAGCATGATCATAGAGTTTAACGAGTTAAAAGTGTTGGCATCCTTTTGTTTCAAACAAATCAGAAGTCACCAAATCATTTGAAGAAAGGCAACATGTCTTGGATGCCCAGCACTGTATATACCAATCATCTTCATAGCCACGATCTCATTCCTCCTCCCAAGAATCCTAGGAGGGAAGCATTTTATTCCCATTTTACAGATGACAAAGCAGAGGCTGAGGCTCAGTAAGCTGACTGGGCCAGCAGGTGGCGCTCCACCAGGGGTGTCTAACTTCTCTGTCGTTTGCAACCTTTTACAGATGCCAGGTGGGAGCCCAGAGGGAGGCTCAAGGAAGGGAGCCTGAGCCTCACTGTATCTTCAGAAAATGGTATATTTTCTTTCACTTGCCCTAGAGACATCATTGAGATCAAAACAGAGAAGTGAAACTTCAGGGGATTAGCAAAGGCTTTTTTGTTGTTGTTGTTGTTCAGAACCTTCTTTGACTGTCCTTTCTCTTCCCCGCCACGTTCATTTAGCCTTCAAGAGCTGTCAGTGCTGAAAAATCTCTCAATTCTACTGCCTTTTTCCGATTCCACTGCTAATTCAGTATTGCCCTCATTAAGTCCCCTCTGTAAGGTCACAGCTGCTTCCTAGGGGTTTTCCCACCTGCTGTGTATTTTCCTTGTACCCAACTCATCTTCCACGTGACAGCTGGAGTCATCTGAAAGTGCAGCTGCACACTTCTCCCCTGCTGGCTGACCCATATGATTCAGCAGGTCCAAGCTCCACATCCTGCATCCACACTTTTCCATCACAAACTCCCTTAGCAGTCTTGGTCTTCACTTCAAACACCTTACTCAGCCTCTTCCCTTTGCCTGAACCTGCTCTGTTCTTTCTCCCCACAGAAGTCTGGCCACAGAGAACCCTTGCCTTCCTACCCTGCACCTCCACTTAACTAAATTCTTCTCCTTCTTGAAACTCCAGCTCCAATGCATTGTCCCTATTCAGTCCTCTCCAATTTCTTCTCCTCCTCCCTGCGCCCCCACTGCACAGCTTGTCCTTCCTCAGCAGTAGTTATCATATACAGAACTAGCTTCAGTGTAGACAAATAGAGACTGAACCACCATAGGACAGGGTTTACCCTTTCTTTATGCCCTCTTGGAAGCTGGCACATAAGAGACAGCCAACCAACTCTTCTCAAGTGAATTCTAAGTGACAACTGTGATTATTAAGAGGAGGGCAGTGGTATGCCAAGAGAGAAATGAGGGAAAGAAGATAATACAATGTCTGCTTTTCTGGCACATGCTACAAAAAGCTGAGTTTCCAGCAATTTGTAAATTATTTTAATCAGAACATGTCAAGGTTAAGGTGGCAGTTCTCAAGTTACAGTTGCTGCATCTATGTTTCTTTCATTAATCCAGACAGTACAGGCAAATTCTAATGAGCCTTCCCACACTAAAGACAAAACAACATACAGTATTCAAATGAACCTAGCAAAGAATTTAAACCAGTATGCATTATGCAGTGCATTCTATAAAATACTTGGTCTTCAGGATTGATTCAGTTCCCTCTGGCAACAGTAGCTTTTAGAAAAAGATTCGCAGTTTGATTTAATGAAAATGAAGCCCACTTACCAATACAGTAGCCGGTTGTCATCTTGATTTCAAACAGTGCAATGCTGGCTGTGTTTCCCTGTCCTAGTACACCTTCTATTAAAATCTGCACAACATATGGGGAAGAAAGGGAGTTAGACTTCAAAACATCATGTTTCCTTGGTTCAGTATTTCAGCTATTAGTCTGGAGCTGTTCAGCCATTCAAGGCAAAATAGGATTGTTAGTCTCAGCTAATTGCTATTGGATACCAATTTCACTATGGACTTTACTAAAAGAATGTGTGTGTATGTATATGTGTGCATGCGCATGTGCACATAAACTCATACATCAAAACTTCGAGGTGAGTAAGGCATCTGATAGAAGCTCAGAGCCAGCTGTCTTCTCTTCTATTGTTATCCCAACCACCACTGTCTTCAGTGCTTGTGGTAGCACTTGTGGTCCTGTTTCTGAAAGTAATCACTTTTTCTCCTGTGGTTTTAGCCCTATATTCTGCAACTATGCTGGCAGATTTAGGAGGTGATAACTGCTGGGAGGATGTTGTAAAAGAGGGAACTCAGAGGCCCCATGCTCCATCCTCAACCACCAGCTGACAGGGAAGGACTCCAGGCAGAAAGAGGGTATTGGAGAGTAAAGTATTTCAAGCTTTTCAAAGAAGAAGCAGGATGGGATAGGAAACTGAAAGGTGGATTAGGAATGGGGAATGTTTTCATGATGGCTCCATTGTGTCCTTGATGAAATATTTTCAATAAACATCACACTTCATGGCCAGGTGTGTCTGGATCCCATCCTCCTTCCTTATCCAATCCACACCCAGCATCACCTTATATTCTCTACTTTCCTTTTCCAGGACTCCCAAAGGAACACCTTCCCTCTTTGAAAAGGAAATGGAACATATCCTTTAAGTATGTTCTCTCTTTTAAAGTATTTTCATTTTCATTTTATTATAGTTAATGTTTTGTTCAAAATTTGTAGCAAAGAAATGATTAAGATGATAAACACATAGCACACACAGTTTAGAAGGATGAAATAAAATTATAGAAATGAGAATACTCCCTAAAAGCCATAGAAAATCTATTTTTCTATGAAAAAGATTTTTCATAGAAAAATTGAAGAGGTTGGTTTAAGCCCCATTTAGATTTTTACAGAAGGCTTATTTAAATAGATGGGAAGGAAATCTGGGAAGAAGCTCTTTTAAGGAATAAACAAAATGTTAAGTTCCATTGCTAATATTCTTCTATGGTATGTATCCTATGAAACATCACATCAAAATCCAGGAGATAACTAACCTCCACATCAGAAATTTTCATAAGATTTTAGAATAGTATAAAGCAAAGATAAGAGGCTCTATATCTTTCTCCTAAACTCCACCTACCTTGAATTTCTTGGAACTGTTTTGCAAATCCAAGCTGGCTATGAGCCAGCTGTCTGAAGGTTCCTTAGCTGACCAAAGCAAGCGATCAAAGCTTTCATCTTCAAATCTCATATAGAGGTTCAGCTGGCTGGGATCTGACAGAGATTCTGAAGATGTGGTTATCTGGTAGACCAAGCGGAGGCAGCTCCATTCCTCAGCCTGTAAGTCAGAACTTAGCAGCACAGCTTTCTCCCCCTGCTTGCCAAAGGAGGTATCCACGTAAATGTAATGACCTGGAAAGAGAAAGGAACACAGGAAAATGATCAATTTTTGGTTTGCAACCTGGAAAAATATGCAACTGTCGTCAAGTCTCTGGGCAGATAAACCTGCAGATATATTTTGTCAACCCACTGGAAGCTGCCTGAACACTGGATCACTGGCCTCTTTTGAAAAAATTGAAAGCACTGAGGCCATGTTACCGGATGACGACAACAGGCTGGAGCTGAGTGGTGCTGCCTCTTCAGAGGGTGGCATGTGGTCTCCGCTTTGCCGTAATTGCCATCACTCCCTCTTCACTCCTGACACTGTCTCTGCTTTTTATTCTTTTACACCAGGCCCATTTAGCACATTGCATTCATCTCCCTGGTCCCCATAGGCATATGTTTCTGCAGGCTGAGGGACATCAGAATCAGAAGAGCAGCATGACTGAAGTCAGCATAACTAGGTGGACTCAACCTTCTCCTTACATAGCTCTCCCCATTACCTAATGCTTCAATCTGCATTTAACTTGTACCATTATGTAAACTGAATTGATTTGGTTACCTAAGCCTGGATCTTGGGACCTAGGCAGAAAAAGTACATTGTAAGCTATTTTATTTTTTAAATTAGGAATAAGACTTCCTTCCCTTGACTCTTCCATGACCAAATTTCATAGTTCTGAGAACTAAATGAGGAAACACTTGCAAAACATGTAGCACAGGGCTGGGAAAGCACTGGACACTCTGAGACTAGCAATCATCCTTCCTTCTCCTCTATCCTCACTTCTCCTTTTGGATTCCCTCTTTCCTCCTTTCTCCTTCTCCTCCTCACTTCTGTCTTCCTCTTCCCGTTTCCCCGTCCTTCTCCTCCTCCTTTCCTTTTCCTCTGTTCATTCTCCTTCCCTTCTCCCTCTACCCTCCTGACAAGTGTTTTCTGCTGACTGTACAGGATGTGAAAAACATTTCTATTAAAAAAGGTGGGGCATTGAAGCCAAGAACCTTAACTCAAGCCTTCCAAACTCACCTCTGGCCATCTGGTTTCCTATATCAGTGATCCGATTGCCTGTGGGTCTTTGGGGACCTCCTGGGCCTTTCTGGCCTTGCAGATTCTCATGATTTCTCAGAGGGTCCCACATTCATGGCTGTCATTTAACCTGCTGTCTTTCATCCTGTGGCTTCCCCCTCCCTGTGTCTGCAGTTCAGTCTCCCTAACCCTAAACTCTTACTAGAAAGGATCTGAAAAGCCTCTTTGTTTTGCTTGATGTTCTTAGCCTGTCCTCCCACGCTTGTTGTCTCAAATGCCCATCCCAGCCTGGATCCTTATCTCTGTGGCGAGTACTGACAGGCCAACTGGAGCTCAGATGACGGCCATCCTCACATGAGGGACACAGTTAGGGCACTGTCTTCAGGGATCCTTGCTTGCCAACTGAAGGGTTTCAAGATCAAGATCTAACTCTTGCTGGCAATCTTCTTAACATAGCAACCACCCACTGGGTGCAGATAGCAATTGCTTCCAGATGCCAACCCAGGCACCCTTGTGGAGAAATCTGGCCCTTGCAGCGATTGCTGCCACCACCATACCTCCCACATATAGGCAACACTCACTGCAACCCAGGCCCAACTACTGTTCTAAGTGCTTCACGCGCATTTCCGAGGTGAAAGGCTTGTTGGGTTTGACTATTCTAAGCCAGGGCTCTTGAGGCCAACCCTTTTTGGATAAAAGTGCCGCTTCTTGTGGCGTGAGGAATGTATTAGTGCCATCCTCTTTCCCCACTCTTTGCTACTGTCCCAAAAGAAGGGACTTCAAGCAGGCTGGATTGGGGGAGATCACATGAGTACCTCAAACCTTTTCCGAGGAAATAGAGAGTTGGGACATGGAGTATAAAAGAGGAAAAAAACAAATAAAGACCTTGCTATGTCCTATCAACATTCACATCAAATACCAACTTTGCTGCCATGGGAGGCTCAATTTTCCCTGGGCACTTCCCCAGCCTCCCCTTTTTTCTCCCTCCCCTTTTCCTTTCCCCACTCTAGAAAGGGCAATGCTCTTAAAGTTGAGCCCAGAGTCACCTGGAAATCTTGTTCAAATACAGATCTCCAGGCCCACCCCTTGAGTTTCCAAACCAGTAGGGCTGGGGTGATGCTGCATTTCTAACAGATTGCATTTCTTAGACATTCCAGGAGATGCTGATGCTACTGGTCTTTGAGAGCTGCTGACTTACAATGTATGACAGGTAAATAGGGTTCATTCTCCAGCCACCTCTCATCTACCAAAGAAAGTGCAGGCTCCTGTGGCACGTAAAGGACGGAGGCAACAGTTCTGCTGGAAGGTACAACGCAAATTTAAGTGAATGTGTGTTACAGCAGGTGCACAGAGTCCATCTGCCAGTGATTTTCTTGGCTTTTCAGTGAGTGCCATAAAAAATTCTCTTGATATTCTCTCACCTGATCAGATTTTGCTATAAGCGTATGCTAATGTTCTCTTGTCAAGAACCTTTGAGAGCACACACTATATAAAATGTACTATTTAAAATACCTAGATTTTATTCTGTGTGATGAAAGTTGGTGCTATTCATTGAGTGATTTTGACATCTTAGCCATAAATGTGAGTTATTTTAAAATATTGGAATTTTGTATTTAAATTAAAGATCTCATATTTGTTTTTAGGTCACGCCATGTGAATGTGCCTATTAGCTGCATTACAGTCCAAGCAAAGATGTATCTACCCAGCTGATTGGATGCAATGCACTCAGCAGAATGATGCATTTTCCTAGACCTAATCATTAGCCCAAGCGCCGCCCACCTCCACTATCACTGCCAACTTCAAGACTAATTTTCTAAATTAATCACTACATTTTCCAGGCCTGCTCTGGATACAGCCTTGGAACCCTTCTAAATATAGTGCTCCATGTAGCCACTGCCAATCAATCTGAGTTGGCACTTCAGTTGAAACTACTTGTTATCTCTGCTTGTGGCTTCAGTGTAGGGGTATATTTTGTTGTCATGTTATAGCTAAATTGAACTAGAAGGAACATGGCATGTTTTGAAGAAGTTTTAGAAAATATAGGATGAGGAAGATATTAATGTCAAGGATGTTGCCTTTCCCTGCCTTGTCACTAAGAAAATTGCTATTCTAGAATAAATGTTGAGTTCTTTTTACTTAAAAAGAATCATTTTACCACCGAGTGAATTAATGAAGTTTTCTTTGGGTGTAAAATGTTTTATTTATTCCATCTTAATCAGATTGATATTTGGAAGTTAACTTTAGACATAATTCACATTCCATAGAATTCACCCGTTTAATACAATTCAGAGGTTTTTAGCATATTCACAAAGTTGTGCACCATCACCACTATCTAATTCCAGAACATTTTCACCATAACCCCAAAAGGAAACCCTGTATCGATTAGCAGTCACCCCTCATTCTCCCGACCCCCAACCTCTGGAAACCACTGATCTACTTTCTGTTTGCCTGAACTTGCCTATTCTGGAAACTTTATATGAATAGAATTATATAATATGTGTCCCTTTGTGACTAGCTTCTTTCACCCAGCATAATATTTTCAAGGTTCATCCATATTGTAGCATATATTAGAATTTCATTCTTTTTGGGGGATGATATTCTATTTTATGGATATACCACATTTGATTTATTCATTCATTAGTTGATGGACATTTGGATTGTCTCTACTTTTTGACTATTATGAATAATCCTGCCATGAGCATTTTTATGCAAGTGTTTTTGTATACAAAAATTTCAGTTCTCCTAGGTGTATACCTAGGAGTGGAATTGTTAGGCCACATGGAAATTCTATGTTTAACTTTTTGACGAACTGCCAAACTGCTTTCTCAAGTGGTTGCATCATTTACATCTCCACCAGCAGTGTATGAGAGTTCCAACTTTTCCACATCCTCGCCAACACTTGTTATTGCCCATCTTTTTTTTAATTATAGTGACACTAGTAGATGTGATCTCTGGTTATGCTTTGGATTTGCATTTCTTGAGTGACTAATTATGTAGAGCATCTTTCATGTGCTTATTGGCTATTAATGTACATCTACTTTGGAAAAATGTCTGTTGGAAATCCTTTGTCCATTTTAAAAATTGGGTTGTCTTTTTATTGTTGAGTTATAAGAGGTTTTATAAATTCTGGATAATAGATCTTATCAGATAGATAATTTGCAAATATTTTTTCCCATTCTGTGCTTTGTCTTTTCACTTTTTTTTTTTTTTTTAATGGAGACGGAGTCTTGCTCTGCCGCCCAGGTTGGAATGCAGTGATGTGATCTCGGCTCACTGCAACCTCCACCGCCTGGGCTCAAGCAATTCTCCTACCTCAGCCTCCCAAGTAGCTGGGACTGCAGGTGTATGCTGTCATGCCTGGCTAATTTTTTTGTATTTTAGTGCAGATGGGGTTTCACCGTGTTGTCCAGGCTGGTCTCGAACTCCTGAACTCAAGCAATCCACCCGCCTTAGCCTCCCAAGTGCTAGGATTACAGGAGTGAGCCACCGCTCCCGGCCGTCTTTTCACCTTTTTTATGGTATCCTTTGAAATACAAAATTTTTAAATTTTGATGAAGTTTAATTTTCTGTTTTTAGTTTTTTTTCCTGCCTTTGGCATCATAGCTAACAAGCCATTCTCAAATTTAAGGTCATGAAGATTTACAGCTTGTTTTTTTCTCAGAGTTTTATTGTTTCACCTTTTACATTTAGATCTTTGATCTAATTTTTGCCCATTGAATTTTCTTGCCACCATTGTTAAAATAAACTGAGGATAGATGTGGGGTTTATTTCTGGACTTCTCAATTCGTTTTTATTAATCTGTGTTTATTCTTATGCCAGTACCATAGAGTCCTCCTTACTGTAGCTGTGTAGTAAGTTTTGAAATTGGGAAGTATGAGACCTCCAACCTCATACTCATTTTCAAGATCATTTTGACTATTCTGGGTCCCTTGTATTTCCATATATATTTAAAGATCAAAATGGGAATAATGTAGAACACCATAAAGTTCACTGTTTTAACAATATTCCTTCATTTTTCTTGAATACATGCTCCTGAATGTTGTAAGCTTTTGGTTAATGTCCAGAATTCTTAAAAAGTTGATTTTTGACCATTTCTTCTGCTGTTCTCATTGCTTTTATGGGGAGAGGATTCTCTGAGGTCCTTACTCCACCATTCTTGCTGACATGCTCCCTTTTCTCATCTTTTAAAAACAATAAGAATACAAAGCAATGCTTTAGAGATGTTAGAATAAACAAAACAAAAGAGAAAAAGGAAAATAAGGGCAGAAATCACAGGGGGATTGGGAGGTTGATTGTGATGCATCAAGCCAGGGATCTGGGGGAGATTTACCAAACACAGTGTTGGAGAAATGGCGTCAGGAGGAGAGGGAAGGATCCACTTCAAATATGGTTGCTTAGGCAATTGGAACGGGTTTACTAGACATTTATTAGAGATGATAAAATCTTTGTAAGGGGTCAGAAAAGGGCCATAAACTTCCAAATAGATTTTTTTTAAAAGTAAGTCAGCAATCAAAAACAATCATTAAGCCATCCTGCCAAAAAGTACAGACTCAACATGCCCTAGGGTCTGAACATGTCTCCTTGTCACATGCAAGCATCAGAAAACAACAGAAAAAGCTTTTTTGTTTAAGTGAAGTCAAGCCATAAATAACTGAGTCTTGAAGTCATGTTCAATTGCTGGACACATCTGCATGGCCAGAATTCAATGTTTCGATAACTTCCAATAGCCATGGCACAGCATGATAGTTCTAAGTCCCACACCATCACTGTGGCAGCATGGTCAGGGCACAAATCACAGGGGGCTTCTTGGCACCCATGGAATTCTATTAGCTAATGAATGCCAAATGCTCCATCCTTCAGGTGTGATAATCGTGCTGGGGTGACTGTGTGGTACAATGGAACCTACTCAGGATTTGTAAATTATAACCTAGGTTTAAAACCTTATGACACACACACAGACTGAATCACTGGCTTCTTTATTTTCAAAATGGGAATAATAAAAGAAGAGAGCCACTTTACACATACATTCAATATGTGGAAACTCAATGTACTTCAGAAAAAACAAACCAACTAAAAACAACCCAACGACGAGTACTATGACACACACACACACGAAATATATTTTTCATATGAATAGCCACTAAATGGAATCTATTTCATCTAATGTTTAAATAAGTATATACTTCCATGCAGAAAGAAGAATTGGCCGTGTTGTTCATAAAAATGGCATAATACGTATAAAACCATGTGCACCGTACTCTGTAATTTAAGGAACTCTTAAGAGCAATTTTGACAATGTATAATTTTCACCTTGCTGACTTTAGACTGTAAAACTGAAGTGAGATATGACTTCATATCTATAGGGCTATTGTGAGAACCTGATAAAATGATATACAGTCATGCGTCACTAAATGATGAAGATAGGTTCTAAGAAATCATCATTAGGTGATTTTGTCATTATGCAGGTATTATAGAGTGTACTTCATGAACCTAGATGGAGAGTCTACTACACACGTAGGCTATATGGGACAACCCATTACCCCAGGCTACAAACCTGTAACGGTATGTTACTGTACTACATACTGTAGGTAACTGAAACACAATGGTAAGTACTTGTGTATCTAAACATACCTAAACATAGACAAGATATAGTAAAAATACAGCATAAAAGATAAGAAAGGGTACATCTGTATAGGGCACTAACTTGCAAGTGGTGTGGGTGAGTCAGTTCATCAGCAGGGAGGGAATGTGAAGGCCTAGGCTATTACTGTACACTGCTGTAGGCTTATAAACACTGTATACTTAGGCTATACTGAATTTATATGAAATATTTTTCTTCAATAATGAATTAACCTTCATTTACTATAACCTTTTTACTTTATAAATTTAAAAAAATTTTAACATTTGACTCTTGTGTAACAACTCTTAGCTTAAAACACAAACACATTGTACAGTACTGTATAAAATATCTTTCCTTATATCCTTATTATATGAATTTTTTTCTGATTTAAATATTTTAACATTTTTTTACTTTTCAAACTTTTTGTTAAAAACAAAGACACAAACATTCACATTAGCCTAGGGCCTATACAGGATCAGAATCATCACAGTGTCACTAGGCTATAGGGAATTTTCAGTTTTGTTATGTTATGGGACCACCATCATCTATGCCCATCGTTGACCAAAACATCATTATGCAGTGCATGACTATATAAAGATGCTTTGTAAATGGTCATGTTAATTGCTAATTTCTGTTCTCATCATCAAAGGCAGGAGTTTTTTAGTTATTGCAGAGACAGAGAGAAATGAATATTGTCTTCTTACTTTTTTCCAATATAGATCAGAGAAGATATTTGTTCAAGTAGTAGACCAGTAGCACATTTTCAGTGCTGATATGAGAACAGGCCTCATTCATTTCACTTTAATTGGCCCTTTGCTGTTAAAATCTGCAACTTTGTCCTTTTAGTGCTAGGCCCATCCTGGCTGCCCATGCTAAGCAGTCTCCCTCCTCACAGCTGAGCTCCTCTGGTTCTTACCCAAGGCTAATCATCATTTCAAGTGGAATCCAGCATATTTACTCCTGATGTGATTCTGACTGAAATCTTATGACCCAGGTCTGACAGCAATGCCTACATCTCTCTTTGGTTTAGAGCTTAGTGTCTTGCATATCTAAGGCAAGGACACTGCTTCTTTTTGGCAGCTTCCTTCCCAGGGCTGAAGTCTAGTCCCTGAACTCAAGCAAGGATCTTCCCACTCAATTTTCTGAATGCCTTAACTGTCTGCCCCCCTGGATCACGTCCTGCTGTGGACACAGTATGGTGGAGTGGTTGAGTGTGGCTATCACATCAGGTTGATCTCAGTTCGAATCTTGGCCATGCCACTTAGAAACAATGTCACTTTGGGCAAGTTAATTATATTATCTGAAACTCACTTTCTTCACTGGTAAAGTGAGGATGTTAAAATACTGATTTTGTAGCCTTTTAAAAAGATTAAATAAGATAATGTAAGTACTTAGCACAGGGCCAAGTTCTTAATAAATGTTAGTGCTCCTATGTCCAGTTAGATGATCAGCATCCTCTTCTGATGGTTACCCCACCTCGTCATCTCATATTGTCCTTCCTTGATACCAATTGCTGTTGTTCCACCTGCGCTTGCGCTCTCTCTCTTTTTCTTTCTTTTTGGCAGAGTCTTGCTCTGTCACCCAGATGGGAGGGTAGTGGGGTAACCTCAGCTCACTGCAACTTCCACCTCCCAGGTTCAAGTGATTCTCCTGCCTCAGCCTCCCAAGTAGCTGGGATTACAGGCGTCCATCACTACACCTGGCTAATTTTTTTATTTTTAGTAGAGACGAGGTTTCACCATGTTGGCCAGGCTGGTCTCAAACTACTGACCTCAGGTGATCCACCCACCTCGGCCTCCCAAAGTGTTGGGAATACAGGCGTGAGCCACGACGCCCGGCCTGCCCTACCTTTCTGACACCAACTGCTGCCCCCTATGTAG